CGGATCGGGCCCGCGGGCCGTAGTTTGCCCACGGCTGTGCTAGCGTATGTCTCGGCCCCTCGGGAAGATTATTACGCTAAATAAATATCCTGAAGGAGTGCTGCTTGAAGATTTTCGCCAGTGTGAGTCCTCCACCCCCTCCCTTTTTGTAACTCGGCTCGACAGCTTCCAGCATCTGAATGGTGGCTGTGGCCCCTGCAGAAGCTCGTGGCTAACCTCCGCCTGGGAGCGATAGAACTCCTCCCACTCAAGCTTCTGGCTCCGGAGAAGAGTTGCCTAAAAAGAGCAGTCACCCAGGGAAAGCTTCGACAGCATCAGGCACCAAGCAGGAGCACTCTGAGGTCCTGGCCCACGGAGCCGGGAGCTACAGGGAGATGTGGGCCTGCCCTGAGTTCTTGCTCTTCTGGGCAGCTTCCCTGTTTTCTTCTCCTAGCCATCTCTCTCTCTCTCTCTCTCTCTCTCTCTCTCGCTCTCTCCTCTCTCTCTCTCTCTCTCTCCTCTCTCCCTCCTTCCCACCAGAGCGAGGTTCTCAATCTCTAGAGCCGCGGCTTTCTCGGCATTGAATCTCTTCCCCGGATCCCCTGCAGAGTAAATCTCTCTTTTCCTTATTATGGGTGACTTAAAGGAGAGCCAGTGTTACTTAGAAGCGGGTCTTGTTACCGCTGTCATTCTCTCCTCTTAATGTGCCTGGTGCTCGGTGGGAAACACTGTCAGGCGCTTTCTCTGCTGTCGAAAGGCTCTGTGCTGCGCTTTGTCGTTTTGAATCTTTTCTCTTCGGGGGCAGGTCTGACATTGTGATCTCCATGAGGGCAGAGCCCAGCCTTGCTTATCTCCGCTGTTGTCTTTTTTTTTTTTTTTAAATATATTTTATTGATTTTTTACAGAGAGGAAGGTAGAGAGATAGAGAGCCAGAAACACCGATGAGAGAGAAACATCGATCAGCTGCCTCCTGCACATCTCCCACTGGGGATGTGCCTGCAACCCAGGTACATGCCCCTGACCGGAATCGAACCTGGGACCCTTCAGTCCGCAGGCTGACGCTCTATCCACTGAGCCAAACCGGTTTCGGCTCTGCTGTTGTCTTGAATGCTCTGGCCTTGTGGTCTGGAGAAGGTGAGAGAAGGGCCCAGTAGGTGCAGAGACTGGCCACCAATCGCAAGGCGCGTGGTACTGAGCCCTCCGTGCCGGTGATGAAACAGCACCTCAGTGAGGCGAGTCCCATTGCCTGAGGCTCACACTGAGCACTGACTGGAGCCAAATTCTGTGCCAGGGGACCCGGCTGCCGGAGCCAATGCCGGAGTCCATTGTGTCTTCTCCCCTGGTTCCCATGGCACCTGGCCACCTCCAGCATATCCCTGGGATGGTTCTGGTGGCAAGTCGTCCCTGGCCCAGGTTCTAAGTGGGACTATCACCAGGAGATGGTACTGCTCAAGGTAGGACAGGGCGTGGGAAGTGAGTGAATTATGGGAACCAGCTATAAAGCCAGGATCTCAGCAAATACTTGAATGAGTATTCCGAGCTTGTGCCCCACATAAAAACTCTGGCAGCCTTTGGCATTAATGTGGAAATGTTTGCCCAGAGCACCATGGGTTGACTCTCAGGCATCCTATATGCTGCGTGTGCACACCTGCACCATCTTAGATGCCGTTTGGAGACATACAGGGACCAGGAGAGAATCCTCTACTTCTGTGAAAATTGGTTGAAATCTAGGACATCACAGAATACTTGACAGTCTTGTTACTAAAACGGTTCAAATAGGTTGCCTCCCAGAATTCAGGTTAAATCTCTTTCCTGCGCTCTGTTTCCTGTAATACACGTAGCTGCCACTAGATGGTGGTGGTGCTCAGTAAAAGGCAGGTATAAATAAGTCCTCAGGGGCCTCTCTGGAAAACAGTAGTTAGTAAAATTGAAGCTAGGTTACCCCATGACCCAGCAGTTACAGTCATCGGAGTAGGGCACATGCATATCCAGACACATGTGCAAAAATGGCACTAGCAAACTTGTAACAGAAAAACTAGAAACAGTGAACAGTAGAATGGATACAACATTGTGGGATGTTGCTACTATTTAGCAAGGTGAATGGACAGTCAACAGCTACATGCAATAATGTTATACATTTTTTAAAAAATTATTTTTTGTTAATCCTTATTCGAGGATAGTTTGTCATTGATTTTTAAAGAGAGTAGAAGGGAGGGGGAGAGACAAAGAGAGAAATATCCTTGTGAGAGAGACCCATCAATTGGTTGCCTCCAGCACACACCCTGCTCATGGCCAGGGATTGAGCCTGCAACCCTGATACGTGCCCTTGACCAGAATTGAACCCAGAACCCTTCGGTCTGTGGGTTGATGCTCTATCCACTGAGCCAAACGGGCTAGAGCAATAATGTTATAAATGTAATGGTAAGCAAATGGTGCTAGACACAATAATACATACAGTGTGATTCCATTTCTACAAAGTCCCCAAAACAGGCAGAAATGTTTAGGGATGTGTGGAAAAGACAGGAATGGAGGGAGACTTCTTTAAAAACCCTATATTTTAAGTTAAAAAGATAAAAGGTCTGCTTAGTAAAAATTTTGTTATTAAATTATTACAAACCAGGAAAGTGTTTACCTCAGGGAGAGTTTTGGTTCAGGAAGGGACACAGGCTCTGGATTGCTGACAGTGTTCTAGTTCTTGACCTGGGGGCTGGTTCCACAGGCATTTGCTTTATCATTGCCAAACTGACCTGTGTGTCAGCCCTTCGCTGTGTGTGTGGTTTGCAGGTATGGCCCTGTGCCAGCCTCTGGGGCTGTGAACAGGTCCCTTGTTCATCCACATCTGTGCGCCAGGGAGGGGCCTCAATCACATTATTTCATTCTCTCTGCCCATTTTACTGATGAAGAGACCAAGGCTTAGAGACATTGAGTTGCTTGCTCTGGTCACCTAAATCCTCAGTGGCAGAACTGGTTCTAACTGGGTCTGCCCACCACGGAGCCCTTGCTCCGTCCTCATCCTCTGGGCTCCGCCCGTACATCCTTCTCCCACTGATCAGCCAGGCTCCTGTGGTCCTGCAGCTTCTGCTTAAGTTCCTCAGCCATCCACCGGTGGCAGGCTCCCCTTACAGGATGGAGGTGGTGTGGAGGTTCTCACCCACTGCTCCCTTCCTCGCTGGCCCCAGGCTGGCCTCATGGGGACGAGGGCAGCCTCCACCATCGTTCCTGACTTACA